GGGGGGGGGGGGGGGGGGGGGGTGGGGGGGGGGGGGGGGTAGAGCAGCCCCAGGCCCTTCTATGATGTCAGCAGCTGTGGAGGTGACTCATAGGGTGCATCCGGAATTGCATACTTACACAGTAGGTACTGAATTTCGTCAGTAGCCTCTACTACTTCTGGGCAGGGATCTTGTAAAGCGCTTTGAGACGATGTAATGTTGTGAAAATACTCTGTCCAAATACAATTGAATTGGATACTCAACCCTTAATGCAGTACATACTGTACGTAAGCATGAGAACAGTATGCAGATATTAGCACACAATACAGCTGCTGTCACGCACATCACCTGACCTGGATGTTTATTAGTGACGTAGCTTGACCGCTGCAGAAGTTAAAAACTGTAATAATCTATCAACGATAAAATACATGGTTAACTTAATATTTTCTACTTTAAATTTGTGTAGTGACGGCACTTCCTCCGCCACCTTGACAAAATCGTTCGAGCAAGCAACTGTCTGCGTCTCTGGTTGCAGCGTCAGTGGCCTTGTTAGATAGTGTAGCATCCCTCAGTTCGCAATTCCTGAAAATGTATCATCCAGGTACTGTTCGTCTACAGAGCATACGGACACACTTCTCACCTCGCATACTGCATTTCCCCTACTACAAGTATGCAACTTTGGACTAACTCCTATCCTTCACTGTCACCCAGAGGGTCATTGGACCACAGTGGAGTTGTAGAGGAATGTACCTGGATGGAAAACTTTTTTGTTGAGTCATCGTCCATGGCTCATAACTTTACTGCCTGTTCCACTTCTTAAAACTCGAATGTATGAAATTTATGTTTTAATAAATGTACAATAGCGATTTATATGAATGATAAAGGACGCTGTGACGACTTGGTGTGGCGGTGAGGTCATTGCTGTTTCTCCAGAGGTCGCTGCGGATCGCTGATGCTTCATTTCGAAGAACATGGTGTCATCGTTGCTCTTTGCAAACTAGTAGGGCAAATGCTCGGGTGGCTGAGTCCTGGCTGCCCTGGAGAGAGGGTCAGTGCGGCCTGCGGCCTGCTCGCGACGCACCCCTGCACTGCAAGCGTGAAAGGCCACATGCAGTTTTTATGCAGTGTCAATTATTAACTGTGCCAGTGGGCGCGGCGCAGTGGTGCGCGGGCGCCTTCCTTCGGGACGTGGCTGCGGTGCTTCCTGTTTGTCTCGCTGTTCATACTGTTACCAATAATTTTATATCCTTCCCGTATGAAAACAGTCAGCTCTCCAGTGCCAGAGAAACGCTCCCCGCCACCATCCCATCCAGTGTCGGGGCTTGTCGATAGCAGCCCCGCCATGCTGGCTGAAGGCGCCGGCATGGGACTGCGTCGGTGTCGGGTGATGGTCTTTCAGCCAATGGCGTTCTCAGGTGCGTCGGCGCCCGCCCCCTCCCCCCCATGTGAGCACTTAAAAATACCCGGGAGGCGGGGCGCGGCTGCGTGTCACCGCCGCGTGCGCTGAGAGAGGACGTGACCCCACGGTGGCAGTCAGTCCCAGCTGGCCCACTGCCCGCAACCCAAAGTACACAACTCCACAGACAATAACCGGTTGAGGACCTGTTTAGTTTTCAGTATGAATATTCACTGAAATTGTCTGGAATACTCTTCTCAGTACAAGTCTAGTTATTAGATCAAGCGCTTAGGAATATCCAGTCAGACGGGCTTCTCTGGACGTGCCGTTCTCCGTAACATTTTCGCCTGGCAGCCGGACATTCCCTCCACGCGCTGACATTTGGCCGTCTGGTGGAGCTCCGGCGAGGCCGCGGCGTGCTCACTGAGTCAGCCGCAGATGGCGGGGGCCACGGGGCGGGGCGGGGCCTGCTCCCAGGCTCCCACCAGAGCGCAATTCTCAGGTGACGTCCTTGACTGTGACGCGTCTCCCCTCCGCTAAGGGCCCTGGGCTGGTTCTGATTGCTGGCTGCGCTGCTTTTGATGGCCATTTTGGGGCAGTTTGTGGCTCAGAGTTAGGACACCTATGACCTGAAGGTTGTAGGTTCAAGTTCCATGGTCAGCAGAGTAATTTCACCATTGAGCCCTTGAGTGTGGCTCTTAATCCCCAGTTGCTCCACGGACTGACTGAACCTGTCAGGATGCAGTTTGTTGCTTTGGATTATAGCATAAGCTGAGTAAGTGAAAATGTAAATGTGACCTGTGTGTCGTCACCGTGGCCCTCGCCCGCCGCTCCCACATCCCGCGGTGCTGACAGGGGCGCACAAGCCAGGCCGATAGCTGGCGAAAGGGACCAGTTGGTGCGGCATGATGCCCAGATGGAGGGGTGGGGGGTTCTGGGGCTTGGCGTAGCAGCTCCTCTGATCCGCCGTTCTTTCAAGCGGGTCCCCCTGCCCTCAGAGTTCCCGTCGGTCCCGCATGTCGCTGCTGGCAGAGAGAAGCCTGGCCTGGCGACCCAGAAGGAGCGGGCAGCTGCCCCCGGGCCCCGGCGTCGCAGGAAGGCGGCCTGCCGCGGCCATAACCCTGGCATCAGAGGTAGGCGGCCTGCCGCGGCCATGACCCTGGCATCACAGGAAGGCGGCCTGCCGCGGCCATGACCCTGGCATCACAGGAAGGCGGCCTGCCGCGGCCATGACCCTGGCATCACAGGAAGGCGGCCTGCCGCGGCC